TGTCTTGATTTTTAATACATTAAAAGGAAGTTGAGGGAAAATGTTTTAAGGATAAAATGAATTTTCATAATGACATTCCTATAATTGGCATTTTTTAGTAATTAAAATGTTTAGGCTGTTAAGCTAGGAAACAAAGGCTAGGGCATCTTTTGAAATGAAGATAGCTATACTAAGTAACCTATTAAAGGAGACCACCAAGGAGAGGATTCTTTGGATCCATCTTTTTTAGCCACAGATTCAGCAGTTTTCATGCAAAACAGCCACCTTCTAGCAGTTGAAAATGTACTGAAAGCCACAGCAACCTTGATGGGTCTCAGAAGGCCTGACTTCCAGCTGAGGCCGCTGCTCTGAAGGCCATGCTTGGGGTCCTGGCTGCTCCTTGCATTTGCCTGTTCCTTTCCCCAAGAATGGCACAGACTCACTGAGGAGGCCTCAGCCCACAGGCATCTCCTGGCTCTTTTCCCAAGAACCTCTTATGGGTTTAGAACTGGGGCTACTCCTCAGAATCACCTTTTTCAAAACATAAGTCTGACTTTGGATTGGAGCCTCTGGGGATTATTTTGAAACACTGACCTATCACATTCGAACCCTATACTGATTTTCAAACCTGTGTTCTGGAAGTTCTGACCTACTCTGAGCTTCAGTGTGCAGGAAGCGGTTAACCAAATACACAGACAGAGAGGGATGGAGGCCTGACAAGTCCTCTCGAAAACTGCTTGCATAAAGAACTTGAGAAGCACATGTTAATTCTCCTGGAGAGTCTTGTATACACTAGAACATTCTCCTTTTCTTTTTTATGCAGATTATCTAATCCAGAATATTTCACTTGTCTCTATCCGGCTATGTGTCCAAACAAAGGGTGGATGTGGATTCTGTGTACCATGTACTGCCGAGGCAGTTAAGAGCCAGCCAGGGAAATTAACTGACTTATCTAGATGCCAATGTAGAGCCCAGCATCCTGATTTTAATTTTTCTAACCTCTGGTCCACTGTTTTCTTACATTCTCCTCTCCTCCTCCATTAGATTATCTAATTGAGAATACTTCACTTATCTCTGTCCTGGATATGTGTCCAAATGTAATTTTCTTAAATGATAGAAAATATACAGCAGAGAGCTCTGGAAACGTGTGAAATGCTTACCAGTCTACTGATCCTTGTGGGGGAAAGGGTGGATTGTCTAAAGATAAAATAGGGCCGGGCTCGGTGACTCAGCCTATAATCCCAGAGTTTTGGGAGGCCAAGGCGAGTGGATTGCTTGGGCCCGCGGGGTCTGAGACCCGCCTGGGCAACTTGGCGAGACTGTCTCTACAATAAATCAAAAATTAGCCAGGCGTGGTAGCACATGCCTGTAGTTCTGGCTACTTGGAAGGCTGAGGAAGAAGGATCACCGGAGCCCAGCAGGTCGAGGCTGCAGTGGCTGGGAGTGTGCCACTGCACTCCAGTCTGGGCGACGGAGTGAGAGGCACCAACTCAAAAAAAAAGGATAAAATAATTAGGTGAAATTTTTTTTCTTTTTTCTTTTTTTGAGTCGATGTCTCACTCTGTCCCTCAGGCTGGAGTGCAGTGGCATGATCATGGCCACCACAACCTGGACTTAACAGGCTCAGGCGATCCTTCAACCTCAGTCTTCCAAGTGGCTGGAGCCACAGGTATATGCCACCATGCCTGGCTAATTTTTTGATTTATTGTGGAGGCAGGGTCTCGCCAGGTTGCCCAGGCTGGTCTTGAGCACCTCGGCTCAGACAGTCCTCTCACCTCTGCCTCCCAAAGTGCTAGGATTACAGGTATAAACCACCACACCTGATATAACTATGTTAATTTTTATTAATCTGACAGCTCATGACCTTAATTTTGGTTAACATAAAACCTATATGATTAACTTTTATTAAGAAAAATTTTAAATATTTTAAAAGTTAGTTTTCTAGTTTTTGATGATAACTCCTCGAGGTAATGTATTTTTTAATTAGTTTGATTTGAAGCAAGGGATTTTTGCTTTCCAGAAAAAAATAAGGTCTTAGAATAGCACCAGTGTGGCTGGGCACAGTGATTCATACCTATAATCCCAGCACTTAGGGTGGCCAAGGTGGGAGGATCTCTTCAGCACCATAGCAAGACCCTATATCTACACAAATTTGTTGTTGTCAAAACAAGGTCTTGAACTCCTGAGCTCACGTAGTCCTCCCGCTTCAACCTCCCAAAGTGTTCGGATTACAGGTGTGAGCTGTTGCACCCAGTCTCCATACAATTTATTTTTTTTTAATTTTAAATAGCACCGACGTGCTTTACACACTGGTATTTTGGAAAATTCATCCTATATTACGGAAATAGGATTTGGTTAGTGGTAGGTGTCTTTTCCTCCTTTTTAGCAGTGATACTGCTTGAGCCTAAAATCCTGCCAGTGTTTGTGTTGTTTTTCTTTTTTGTTTTTCAACTTAATCTGGGAGCTTTAATGACAGCCTGCAACCTCCATCCTTGAGAGAAGCAGTACGGCCTGTGGTTTAACGCACTCTTTCCCCTGCTTGCTTGTTATCTCATCTTCCTGAACCCCGGCATCCTTGTGTGATAAATGTGGCTAATACTAGCATTTTCTCAAAGGTTTATTGCAAAGATTAAATGAGATGTCAAATACCAAATGCTTCATACAGTGCCCGGTGCACAGTAAGTTTTCAATAATTAAAGCTCACTCATGTTGAGAAAATCCACTGGCTTTTAAAAAAATACTCTTTGAATGACTTTCTTTGCAAAGCAGATTTTATCATTCAGTGCCTGGTTATTAATGGTAATAAAAGTTCTGTTTTCTCAGGATTTCAGCCAGACAAGTAAACGGAAATTGTTGTTATTTGTAGTATCCATCATAAATGATTGCAGGGAATTCCAGCTTAGTCACATATTCAGGGAAAGTAAAAAGTTTTTCAAACTCAGATTTACTTGTAAATGGCTTACCAGGTCGTGAAAAGTATCTTGCTCTTTTAATGGCTCCCGACTGCAAGTGACATGTGTTGTAAGTGAGACACTGCACGTCATCCACCGTGCAGGCCATCTTCCCTCCTTCCTTCCTCTCCCATGTCATCATTCCCCTTTTGCTGATTCTGTCTTTCCTAAGGGCTATAAAACTAAAACTAAGGACAGCCACCCAAGTGTCGCCTTCTCCTCTGGCTGTCCCGTCTCTCCAGCTTTCCCAGTCATGCTGCTCTGAGTATTTCATTGTTTTCTCACCTCTCCTTCAGCCTTGGGTTCTTGACAGTCCAGTTGCCACCTTTGCAGGAATACTGTAAGTTCTCTCTGGCAGAAGTCTCCAGATCCAGAGGACAGTCGTGGTCTTAGTTTTTGGTGGCATTGAGTCAGTTCGCCATTTCCTTGTTGAAACCCTCTTTTGTTGACGTTGAGGACCCCATTTTCTTGTCCCTCTCCAGGACCTGTTTTTCTAGCCTGGGTCTCGAACTGCTTTTCCTTCGCCGACTCTTCATTATTGGTGTCCCTCAGGATTTCGTCGCTGTGTGAAGTGATCACTCCTCTTGCTTGACTAGTCCTTGCACCCGGGTGATTATTACTCCAAGGGCTTGTCTTCGTGATCTCCCTCTCCGCTGGGTTTCCTGCCCTCCAGGTGCTTCCTGGACCTCTCTAGGAGGTTCTCCCATGAGGCTCCAGTTCGTTCCCTCCTGTCTGTCCCCACCCCGTGCCACCTTCTTTTCCCTCTGTCCTAGCGAATGGCACGGCCAGCAGCCCTGCCAGTCCTCCAGCCGGACACTCAAAGTCGCTGGACCGCTCCCCTGCTCTGCCCTTTCCTTTCGGTCAGTCACCAGGCTGTGTAGACCCGGCCTCCTAAAGATCTTTGCATTGTGCCCGCCTTCTGCCCTCCCGTTGCCTCAGTCGTACCCTCATCTCTCACCGAGACTGGTGCAACGCACCTGCTGGGTCTCTCTGCCTCCCAGGTCTCTGCCTTTTCCCCCAGACCACCCTACACCATTGTGCCCTGGTGACACTCTTAAAGCCAAAGTGGAGGTATCTCCCACACATAGGTAGAAACTTTGTAGCTCTTGTCATCTGTATAATAAAGTCCAGCCTCCCTAGGAGGGTACACAAGGCCTCTGAGGATCTGGTCACTCTACATCTTTTGGCAGTCCCCCCTTGTGGTCTGTGCTCCTAGGTACTGAGCTTCTGTCCTTCTTGGAATGCTGTGTGACATTTCTCACTCCCCTCCTGTCTAAGCACATCGCCCATGGCCTTGAACGTGGACCCCTTCTTGACTCCCACCCTCTCCCTCCCTCACGCAGCAGACTGTTAATCATTTCCTCTTTGGTGCTGACAGTGCTTGATTTTTATTTCCCCTAGTATTTTGAAATTCTTTGTCTACTTGTTAGCTTTCTCCACCAGACGAACTTCCTAAAGGATAATGAAGGACAAGGGTGTGTCTGTCCTGTTAGCATTCCCAGTGCCTGGCCCAGTCTTTGGCATAGGTAGACGGTTAATCAGTGATACAAAATACTGTTCGTGAAGCTGAGGGCTTTCAGAGGAGGAAATGGTATACTCACTGGCAGCCTAGGAGTTCTATCAAATATTTTTGGAAGTGGCACGTGGGAGAAGGACTAGGTTAACTTTGTGTAGCTTCAAGTGGCAGAAGTAACATTAGGTAAGAGACAGACTGTGGCCCAGCCCATGATCGGAACACCTACCTCCACTGAGAATCTGGATCCTGGTTCTGGCATGGCCGTTGAATTTGGGTTTTTCTGGGTATTCATTTCTTTGCCTTTTGATAGAGAGATGGAGATTACATATCTCTATTACAAATAGCTCATGACATTGTTTTGAGGAGATAACATCCCAGGGTGCCTAGGTTAATGCATAGTATTGGATAATGTTTCATAAATGTCCATTGAATTTGAATTTGCCTTGTGTTCCTGATGCTCTTAGTAAAATATTACTCACATTTAAGTAAATAGCATGTGGGTGTCCGCTGACACGACCAAGCACAAGACTCAGCTGCCTTTTTTCCCTCCAAAGATTTGTTCACTGCACTGATGACTCTCCAGATCCTTGTATGGAATTTGAGGTAAGAAACTTATTTTCTTTCATCATCCTAGACAAAGATGTTTTGAGAATCGCTGTATATTCTTAAGCGAAATAAATGAACTTTTTTGGATTAACTTCTCTGGGAATTTAAAGCCACTGAATTTTTAAATTTATGAAATACATTGTGTATATAAAAGAATGTGTACTCTATGTAGAATATACATATAGAATCTTTGTATACAGTAGGCATACACTATAGTATACATAGAATATATGTATTCTCTCTCTCTTTTTTTTTTTTTTGAGTTGGGGTCTCACTCTGTCACCCAGGCACTGGGCTTGGTACTCTCTTGGCTCACTGTAGCCTTGAACTTCTGGGCTCACGAGATTCTCCCACTTCAGCCACCTGAGTAGCTGAGATTATAAGCATGTGTCACCATGCCTGACATTTTTTTAATTTTTATCTTTTTCTATCTTTAAATTTTTTTGTAGAGATGGGGGTCTTAGTATGTTGCCCAGGTTGGTCTCAAACCCTTGGGTTTAAGCAGTCCTCCTGCCTCAGCCTCCCAGAGTACTGGAGTTGCAGGCGTGAGCCACCATGCCTGGCACATATTCTTTAATTAAACAAACACCTTTATCCTCTCCACTCAGCTTAACTTGATTAAATTTTGCCATTTTACCATTTGTTCGCTCATTTTTAAAATTTTTTTATTTTTTATTTTTGAGTTGGAGTCTCACTCTGTCACCCAGACTGGAGTGCAGTGGCCACTCCCAGCCACCGCAGCGTCGACTTGCTGGGCTCCGGCGATCCTTCCGCCTCAGCCTTCCAAGTAGCTGGAACTACAGACATGCACTACCACA